AATGAAACTGAAGTTCTCACGTACTTAGCAACACTTCTTATCACAGTAAGGGATCACAAACACGGAGTATTCTTGACCTCAACCTATTAAAGGAATACCGAAAATAAACGCATAAAAGTATGATGTCTTTTAATAGGTATTTTTTATACAAGCTACTGTTCATTAAAATGTTGTATCCTATGTTATAGCGCTTGTTTCTCTCTACAATCTCCTGTCTCACAATGTACCGTTTGTGTCCCGGAAGGGTTCATATTTTCATAGATGTCGATTTTCGAAAGAAATCGGTACATTTATTTTATTTCGTATATTTTTCATTTTATTGATTTTATGGAAAGCACTGATAGTTCATTTCCTTCAGGTAATTTTTGTTATGATTGTTAGATGTTTTTTTTTCAATTTTAATTTTTACATTCCCATCCTTCTGTATCTTTTTTACGATATTACAAAATAGCAATCACTGCATCGCTTAATAAGAATAACCTATCGAGTTAAATAAGCTCATTATTTTTTATATATTTATAGTTCCATTAGTGAAATGTCATAAAAGAAATAGAAAACGTGTAAAATCAAACCCATTTAAAGATTCTTCGTAGTATTATCGTAAACTTCTAATATTATTTCGACCTTTTCAAATGTTTTCGATTCTTTACAACTAATTGGCAGAATGGCTTAGTATTGGTACTTATAGACTTGTTTTAAAATCTTTTTGGATGCAATAGAGATACTTCTACGATTTCGGTCGACGATAAAATACCATTTTATCTTCTTGTATAAAATAACTATAAGTTTGGGGATTTTACCACAATATCCATTTAGACACTTCCGTGCAAAGGGACTCAATATTTGAAAGTAACAAAATACCCAGCAAAGCGTTTGCTCTGAACGCCTCGAACAACACCTTATATTTTATTTTCACTTGGCAGGAAACCGGAGCGTGTTATAAAATCGATGAATTTATAGCCAATTTAAATCAAATTATGTTCAATTAGACATTCGAAAAAGTACTGTTTATAGTACTACCTCGTAAATCTTTTCGTTATTTATTGCGGACAGTCAGTTTGCCAATTTTCGAAATAAAATCAGTTTGTTTATTATTTTGTTTGCTAATTATTTTGTTTGTATATTTTTTTCTATTTTTTTTCTATTCAACTAATTATTTCACATAAAAATGGGTTCCAGTTAGTTCATAGGTTTAAATAGTTACCTATTAGCTGAATGGCATGCGAGAAGAGAGTTTTTTTTTGTAAATTTGGAACGCATAAGACAATATACCGTATGATCGAAAAAAAACGGCGTCCAGTTGGCTGGGAAATGACGATCGATGACATTTCCCATATAAATTTACATATAAAATGAGAGCGATCTTCATTTCATAGCCATCGCTGACGCCGTTTTTATTCGATCATACGGTATTTGACGGTCCTTGTGATTTGTTCTCTGATTCACTTTTATTTAGGTAGTTTCTTCCATAGCAACTGATAAAATTGCCTTATATCTATCAAAAATAGTAGATAAAATAGGACTTTAACTACAAGGATAGATTAAATGATACTTTATTGTTATGAAAATTGAATGTTATTTAAATTTTCCTTTTCCTATGCTTTCCCCACATTTTACCTAAGGCTTACAATGATGCATTGAAATAAACAAGACGGTTGAGATGATGAGTTTCAATGTAAAGCAATACCTTTAGGCCAACCGGTCGTGTGAATATCAGTTTTTCTGATTACTAGACTTTCTTGTTCTGAAATAAAAGTGAAATAGACTTTTTCTGCCTCAAGATTATTGTGTTTCTTCATAGAAAAGCTGAAATTGCTTAGTAAATAGCCTCAAGCTTACGTATTTCTACAGTAGTAAATTTTTTACAGTAGACAAGTGAAAAAGACGCATTTTTAGCCGACCATACCAACAGGTATAGTAGGCTATTAAGATCGGCAAAAAAAACTTTTTAATTTCACTCAAAATGAGTCATTTGGATCATAAATGACCTAAATACAAAATATTTTCATTGTGTCTGTCCGTCTGTCCGTCTGTAACACGATAACTCAAAAACCGCTAAACCGATTTTAACCAAATTCGGCACGAAAATACTGTGGCACCCGAGAATCTGGCCATTAGTTTTTGGTGGGGGCGAGGGGTTGTTAAGGGGGTATGGGTGGGGGTTAATAATTTAAAAAAATCGTAACTCCAAAATTACAGTAGCTAGCGAAACGCGGTTTTCAATTTAAGATTAGGAATAATATTTGCAACAAAATTTATAATAACATCAAAATCAGTCAAAGTCGCAGTTTTTGAGATAAAAAAAATTGGAAAAATTCCTTTACTGCCTAGCAACTTTTTATTAACATATTTTAGTATGGGCAGCTATACGCGCCTCCCGGCGCCAATTTTTTTTTTTTTATTAAACGGTACTTTCTCAGAGCAATTTTAAACTGATTTTTATCCATTCTAGTGCAAGAAAAACCGAAATACTTAACGTCAAATTTCAAAATTGATGATAATAACACCTATGCATACTCGCGGACGTATATAGTCAAAGAAAATGTAATCATAAAAGGAGTGGTGATTTGCGCGGTCCGGAGCATAGCTTAAGTAGATAATTTATTTAAGAACGGTATACGTTTCAACTATATCATTTAGATATTAAATTGTAGCCATATAGAGATGATAAACTTGCCGTGGGTAATCCGTTTTATTTCTTATATGCTCTTGATTTTAGTATATGTAGTTAATCAATAATGGTTGTAATTCATGCAGAGACTGTTTAAAGAAAGAAATTTTGGTTAAAATATTATATATTTATGATAACCAAGGGGTTGTTTTTTTATCCTAACTTTAAAACACCCTGTGCAATAATTTCGTGTGGAAAATTTCCTAAAATATAATTTTACGGTCAGAACAATGTATCCTGAGCATTTTGTTTTTTAATTCATGTCAATACATGCTTTGGTTAACTTTTTAAGAGAGAAATGAACTGATCACGATCAATTTGCTATTTTTTTAATTGTCATTAATGTTTGTTTGTCATGTTGTTTTTTGTCATTGTTTTTTTGTCATTAATAACGTCACATTACGTTTCATTGGATACTCTATACTATATTAAAAATAAACGTTAAGACTAACGATACAGTCCTGGTTTTAATAAACATTCATAACAGAGCTAACGATATTAAAGAAAACATCTGTAATACTCAAGTATACAAACAAAAAAAATTGTAAAAAATACCCTTATATTTTATATTGCCTCTCTTGGCTGCTACAACTGCCTGTATACGTCTATTCCTACTGTCATTGAAGCTGCATATATCGTATTGCGTTATGTTTTCCCATTCTTCTTTAAGCACCAAGCGAAGTTCATTTAATGAAGCTGGTAACACTTCGCGACCTCTAAAGCTCCTGCCGGGCAGTTCATAGTAGTATCACCAGATTATAAACTTTGTTTTTTCTTTATTGTTTTTCGTGGTTCCAATTTTCGGAATCGGGCACTAGTTAGGTGACTAGTTTGCGCACATAGCACGCCCACTTATGGCCTCTAAAATTTTGCACAGCGCCTGACCGGCACAGTTATTAGAGAGATATCGGAAAACCGAATAGCGTCATGCAGTATTTACGGGTACCTTATCATGGTTACGATATGCGCCAGTCAATTTTTAACACCCGCTAATAACGTTACCGCCTGACGTAATTTGCGGATCAATTACACCAAGCGCTATTTCTAAATAACGTTTAAAGATTGCTTAAATGGGCATGTGCGGGTATTTGACACCCGGGACTGGCCGGCGAGATCTTTTATTTTAGGTTATGTTTGAATTATTATCTACTTTAGTTTTATCAGGTAATTCGATATTTAAGCAGCTGGGATTAGTTTTAATTAAATAAATATGTCCCAAAATATGGATTCCACCTCTTCCAATATTAAAGAAGCTATAAAGAGGCTTAGGTTTACAGCAGATCGCGACTTAGCCCTTCTAAGAGAATTTCTTGCTTGTTGCCCTAAACCCACTGGCAGACGTTGAACAATAAAGCACTGGAAATAAGCACTTTAGCCCTAGTAAACAAAACAATTTCAAAGTTTTAAATTCAAAGTTAGGTTAAGTTTAAATCTCGAACGCGACGCGAATAGAATTCTTTCCGATTCAATAACTATAAATGAAGAGAGTTAATGCCACCTCACGTAAAGGAAATAACACCTGGCCTTATTAACGTCTATGCACGCTATTCGGTTTAGCGATATCTCTCTATTACGCTGTTTATTGTTATTTCACGCGAGTTTATTTTTGTGCACGGGAAATTTTACTCGTTTGCACATCGTCATAAAAAACAATTTTCGTACCACGAATTAGGGACAAGATTTTTATCTGTATAGTTATATAATACCTAATCTGTGCTATTAATTTCTGACAAATATCTGTTATATGCAAGAATTTCCTGTTTACTTTCATTCATATCTGTTCTAAGTATTCCGTATTTAGCATTAACCATTGTAATCTCAGGAGTGACCGACCATTCATTGACTAAACCTCTTTTTTCCAGTACCAGTCCACTACTACAGTTATTAATGAAAGGTGAACAGTGCGAGCGCGGTACTAAATAGAGGCTAAGAAACTTTAATCGATGACCTGTAACAAAAACACATTAGAAGGTAGCCAGAGGTAGAAGCCACGACTGTGGCACCAATTTTACGTCCTAACATTATTAAATCAATATTTAACAACCTTGAAATCGAAATTTGCGACTCAAAAAACGACGAAGAAATGCCAAGAGGTACTGTAGTAAATCAGTTATAAAGCTTAGGGTTCTTAGAACTACCTTGCGTTAGTAGAAGAGTCCAAGCGTTTATTTTTACACCCAGGGTACTAAAGGTTTATGTTAAATCTGCTGCCAAATCAAAGTGTAAGTAAACAAACGGTTTGTTTATATTTTGAAATTGGCGCTGTTATCATGTTTTTACCCTGGACTCTTCAAATTTAATCTAATTTTAATACGTTTTTTTGTTCTAGGGTCTATTATCGGCGAACTCTGTATGCTGGTGGAACAACGCATTGAACGGTGCCACCAAGAGCTTGGTTTATTTCGGGTACATCAATCCAGGTGCACTATTGGTCAGTGCGGAACCATGTGCTTTGGAGGTACTGAGGAACGCCTGGGCAAGGAGGGTACTTCAACCACCACCGGGTTACCAAATAGTAGGATTAGGTAAGAATTTTATTAACAATATATTTCTGTAATCAAAGTATACAATACTGCCAGTGATTTTTTTGTAAAAAAAATAAAAATGAAATAAAATGTCTGATGAAGACTAGTCAGATTGCACAAAACATTTTACGCGGGATTGGTATAATTAACCTAAATTTATCCAACGACATTTCTTGAACTTTTCTTATAATTTTGGAAATAATGGCACAAAAAGTAATAATTCTGTTAAATAGAGTAGGGCTGAGGATGATTATTATAAAGATCTAAATTCATTTACATTACATTTTATTGGCTACTTGCAAATTTGTCGATTTTTTATTGATGGGACGCGTCGTCTAATTTTTTAAGAAAAACATCGAGAGAATATCGTTTCCCCTCTCACGGATACCCCGTAGCTACAGAACGGACAGACGTACTGTAATATGCCTAATTCCGATTAGGCTTTTTGCAAAGTGACTGAAAATACATAAGCTTTTTGTAAAAATTCCTTCTTTGTGTAAAAAGCTGACGTTTTATAAAGGTGCGTATTCATTATCCGAACGAACGAACGAACGAACGAATGAAAGTGCGGTATATTTAGACGAGGACCGAACGCATGCGGCCGTTCGTTCGTTCGTTCGCTCGACCATCCGTTTCGAGTCGGTACATCAAAGGCGTTCGCCAACAAATGCCTCCGGTCTTCTCGTGCGGTCCTATCGTGCGGTCCCCGTCCATACCACTAGCGAACATTCGTTCGTTCGTTCGTTCGTTCGTGCGGATAATGAATACGCACCTTAACATGTCTAGCCTTTTTGCAAAAAAACCGTTTTATTCTATATGCCTGAGACATATACAAAGTGAGAAATATAAACAACCTTAAAGGAAAAAAAGACTATTAAATGTTATTCGATATTTTTAGGCCTGTTTTTTTACAATTTATTAATTTGAATGGGTCACTTCAGAATCAACTTTAACAAGGTATTATCCCTGTATTATCATACATTCTAATCTTTTCTGTCTCGTCCTACATTACTCTCTCTTTCTCTCTCTCTCTGTCCGAATATAGGAAGGGCGTACGTTCCCTAGACTAAACAAACAATGCACCTCTATTTCGTTATAAATAATGATCGCCGTTTGAAACAATGAATTATATACCTGTCGTCGCAATACTTGCTGCTCAGCTACTCCACAATTAAGTGAAAAAACTCGTGATCACGATCATCGCGGGTTCTCTCTCTGTGTGTATTCGGCATTCTTCTGTGTTGTTGCGTAACAAAAGCGTCTGGATTTTTGCTCTATGGGGAACACTCGGTATTAGATAATGCGGGGCATTTAAATGTCATCGCGGAAATGGATAGAAGATATTGGAGGTGGGTTGTATGGCCTAATATAAAAGGATAGTTTTGATTGTTTCATTTAATATAATACAGGGGGTAAAGGTTGATTCTCACTATACCTTCCGTTTCCGTTCAATATCCGTTCCGTATTTTTTATTGTATTGGCGCCCCAACACGCAAAATGTATTGCTGGAACATTGCCAAAACTTCGCAAAGCAAGCTGTAACATTGCTTTTTTCATTGCAGCGAGGTTTATGCAAGGTTTCAGGGTAACTTAATCTTCCGCCAAATAACATTGCAGTGCAAGGTTGCATTTCACAATATTATTGAAACGTTGCTAATGTAACGTTCAAGAAAGTACTAATTTGGGATGTATTAGCAATATTGTTAATTTTGCGTCAATACAATATTAGTGAAATTATATTATTAATTATAATTAACTGACTTATTGCTAAAGTAATATAGCAAAAAATAGATAATATTTGCATTAAAAAAACATTTCATTCATCAGAAGGAAAATATAAAAATTGGTTTTTTCTTTGCGAATTAGTTTTTTCTTGCGAACATTACCAATTTTATGTTAACAATAATACATCAGTAATAAGGTTATAATCAACAGAAACATTAATGGGTATTAAATTGTAGACTTTCAGATAGGTATAATATACTTTTACTAATATTGTATTGACGAAAAACATAAACAATATTGATAAAAATATGTAGGTATATCTCTATATCCATTGACTTAGAAAAATTAAAAATACTCGGTAAATATATCCCTACCAAGAAAGTTGAATTTGTCAAACAAATTGAAAAAAAACAAATAAAAATTAGAAATTTATCACTTACTTGTTTCAAAAATATCAAAAATACTGTCAAGTACTGAGAACTTGTCTTATTCATGGTTTCGCTGAAGATTGTCTTATTCATGGTTTCAAATTCCTCTTCGGTAAAGTTTTGAAATCTATATCCAATAATTTCTAAAGTAGTAAAAATAAAAACAATCAGTTGTAATAAATATAAAGCAATGGGAAACTTACCTCTTGTGACAGTAATCTTTGAGGCCCCTTTATGTCCTTATTTTAAAAATTTTAAATGATTGTAACATCATTAAAAAATATTATTGAGGATAATTAATACTGAATATTATTTGTGATTTTATCATAAGATTAAGAAGATACTTCAATTCTCAGTTGGCTAAAAGCTAACCTAAAACATAAAATTTAGCTTAAAAACAAACTAAACTAAACAAAATTTGTTATACTTATTCATGGCTAAGTATTATTAAAACACACATAATAATAAAATTATACTAGACACCTTTTTTTATCCTATATGGTATATTTGTTATATTATTAATTAATATTAACTTGCGCGGATCTTTCATTTGAATCTTTGTTGCAATGTTGCAGAAAAAACGTTTTAATCACCATTCAAAGACAATGTTTTTGTAGCAAGGTTTCATCAATCACGACACAACGTTTAGAAATCAACAATACAAAGCAAACTGTTTGGGGATTGACTGCAATGTTGCAAAAATAATGAGGTTTTTTGCTTGGTGGGGCTATACGTAAGCTTCCATTCCGTATCAGTTCCATACTTTTTTTTATATTATTAAGAAAGTTGTATTTTAAAAATTTGTATCTTTCGAAAAAGGTAATAGATTTAATTAAGAGGTATAAGAATAAATAAATATCAGCAAAATATTAACAGAGCTGGTACAAATGTAAGAACTTGACAACGCTGTTTCCGATGCGTTTCAGTCCATCAGCCAAAAATATATATAGAAGGAAAGGACGTGGAACGGAAGGGAAACGGAACGGATAATGTGTATTGTCCTATTCATTTACATGATATAATATTTTATGTAAACGAAAGGGCTCTATACAGTGAGAATCGACCTTAATATGATCATTTTTCAGAGGATATCGACCACTGCGACGCGTTACCCGTGCCCCAGACGCAGTGGACGCCCCTGCCGGAAGCGGTGTGCGCTGTTGTGCTTCGATTGTCTAGTCAGGGAAGACCCGCAGGAATCGAGACGATCAGGGAGGCGCTGATTCTGGCCGAGAATAGGTACATTAAAAATGATAATTATAAATGATAACCTCTTCTTTTTCTAACAACCTGTAGAAGTATTACTTATATGAGGTAGCAAATCTATCAATAGTCGTTCTATTTACATTTTTAAATGCTTTTATCCCAATAAATAAACTGACAAAACTAGCGAGTATTCAACTCGTACTCTCGGGTAAGCAATAAACACACTTGCCACTGAGGCACGTCCACTCAGATGCTTCTATTAAATCAACTAAAAAAATAATCTAAGCATCTAGCATCTGTATTTTGTTGTATTTTTAGTTTTTATGTTACTTTTTTGAACAATTCTAGAAGAAAAAGATCTAGAAGCCATTCCAGGACGAGGAGCAAACGAGATCCAGACAATGGATTCGAAGCTTCTCCCAACAAAACGATGCTCATGTCCACGGAGGAAGCCATGGTTATGGTTCACGGAGATATGGCTACCATCAGAGATGGAAACATTACTCATCAGTGTATACAAACCAATCTAGCAGATGTTATTTGTGGAGGTAATTTTTTTGCAAAATTTCTAATAATAATTGTAAATCAAATTGTTTCTTTAATTTTTAGGAAATGCCAGTGACAAAATTCTCTATCCAAGAAACAAACGAAGGTCAGCCTCGTTTCCAGCTCACCGAAGTCCAGACCGACGTGGTTCCTTTAGATTATGGAGCTCTAACAGAAGGCTAAGGAGATCAGCGTCAACAAGAACCATCCACAAACACTACGTAGACACTAGCAGCAGTACGGAGTACCCGAACAGCGGAAATTCAACACCTACACCAAGTAATATCAATATTATACTCTTTTTAATGTTAAAACTAACAAATGGTTTGATTTCAGAAAAGGAATCTTTGTTATCAAGGATATTCAGGCGGTCGAAAAGGTCACAGTGTCAAATTGGAACTTTTGGTGCACAGTTTCCTCCAAGTGAATGGTTCAATTCCAAAGCGGTTCATTTGCATAGCGTTGGGACACAGACAGCTGCAGAAAAAGTATGTTACCCCGTAGTTTTCTTATCTCATATTTAAATTCCACCAAAACTAACTGATTTCACTATTTTCTTTTTCAGGATTCTGGAATAGACATAGCTACGTACCTAGAAACCTGCGATATTAGCTCTAGGTCAGCTACCCTACCCCGAAACCACCGAAGGAACCTCTCCAGCGACGTCACATTACCTAATTCATTAAACGAATCCAGAGAAGACTCCCCCATATCCCGATTTACCTCCCCGTCATATTCTGCCAGCACCCTACCACGAAAACACGGTTACAGGAGCAGAGACAGTTCGAGAAAAGCCAGTAGATCAAGTTTAGGAAAGTCCTCAACTAACAACGAAGGGAAACCTGAAAACAGTCCGTCCAAAATCCGAGATTCCCTGGAACAAATCAGGAAATCGCCTAAAACTAACGGAAAATCGGAAACATCTTCGAAAACTAGTCAAAGATTCAACGAAACCAACGGGTACAGCTGCGATAACTCTTCGGAAAGTCAGTCAGCTTCAGCTTCGCCAGTTAAAAACCTCTCCAGCATCGATAACAGTGGCCCAAGCAGCATAGAATCGCATAAAAGTAGTAAAACTGGAAGTTCCCTAACCAGTGGTCCTTCTAGTTTGGAATCACACAAAACTGTCATTGATAAAAATTCAACAGAGCCTCCAAAAGTTGATTCGAGGTCTCTGAAGAAACATGTCAGGAAAGAAGTGACCAAAACCAAAATTACAACGAAAAATAACGGATCTATACCTCAAAGTAATTCTTTTACTTTGCAAGTAACGACAAATCAGAATGGTGTTAGTATTGGGAACAGTAACTCCACAGCAACTGCCACTATAAATGCTGGAAACTCTACAGGTGGTAATACTAAAATATTCGTACAAAACTCTCCAGTAAGGTCAGTAATAACGTTTGAGAACGGTCAAAACGATGACAGTAATCCAAATGTCATTGTTATTAGTGGAGATGTCCATCAGAAGGATCCTAAAAGTGAATCAGGTGTTTTGGAGCAAAGTAAACCTGCTAAAAATACTAATAAAGAGTCACAGATTAGTCTAAATAATGTTAAAGAAGACTCAAATACCAATGAAGAGTCTAATGAGACTATGAATAACAGCAGAAAGCTTTCATTACAACTACCAACAAAAGAAAGCTTGAATTTTCATAATTTGATCAAAAATGTGTCTTCCAGTACACATAACCAGTATATTTCTAGCTCAAATCCTGACTCACCCATAGCAAACACCTTCCGAGACTTTTCAAAGAACTCTATCTATGGTAGTAACCCCTCTAGTCCTACAAAAAGTTACGAGGGTATACCTATTGGTAGGTTTTTTAAAAATGATGTTGGTTCTAAAACATCTTTGGATAAATTTTCGGATAACAAAGTGCTGGAGAAAAATTGTATAGGTTCCGAACCAAATATTTGTTATAAAGAAAGAACCCTTCCAAGAGAAAACAGCAAACAGCAGTTTCCTAGTCTCAGTGACCTGTCTTTTAATTTCACCAGTTTGGCAGCACAGAAAATACTGAAAGGTGTTAGTATCAACAGCGTGGACACTTTGGTAGAGTTGAATATGGCGGCTAATAATATAGAGAAGCAGAATAATTGTGAGATTGTCCATACAGATTTTGGAATGTTTTAAAAATTGAAGTTGAACACGCTTTGAACAACGAAAATATCTGCTCTCTTTTCTATGTGTATTTTCATCTTGTACAAACAAAAAAAAATACAATTTTTTAGTGCCATTGAGATATTTTTTAAGACAGGCTAGTTCAAAGAATCGCAGTGTCATTTTTGACATTGAATATTTGACAGTATGTCCAGACAATTATTGCATTACAAAGAGAAATATTGACTTGAAAATATGTTTGGTTTGGTTAGATAACAAGGACTAAGGAAGAGAAGTATATCCTCAAATAATAAATTCAAAAACATTTTTTTTTCAGTTGATTTATTTGATTAGTTTACTTTTTGTATCATGTACAGGGTATTTCCAATATTCCGTGGAGAAGAAGAAAAAAAAAAAAAAAAAAAAAAAAAAATGTGTCTAATAATGATTTTTACTCCAAAAACAGGATGTTCTATGTGCACGGAATATTGGGACAGTCTGTGTTATATTATTACTTAAAAAAAGTGAAAAGCTGCTCCACTATTTGTAGTGTTTTCGGTCTGGGAAAAATGGCACACTGCTCAAAAAACTATTTTTGAAATATTTTTTCTAAATATTTCCTTATTTTATCAGATTTATATACTTTGCACAAATCTAATAATAAAATAAAAAAGAAGTAAAGCAAAATAAACACAGAAAAAGTCTACGAACTAATAAATATTTTAATTTTTCATGCGGAAAGTTAAACAAAATTGACAAAAAGCTTGTTTCAGACTGGTTACCCTGATGTTTTTTTTTGATAACAAAATAAAACACTAAATCGCCACAATACACCAAAACACCTTTACTTTTACACTGTGTAAAGTGTAAAAAGTACAGTGTAAAAGTAAAAGTGTTTAGGTGTTTTGTTTTGATTTAGTGTTTTATTTTGCTGTGTAACACCAAAAGTTCCAACCCCGAACTGTAATTTTTTAGATATATGAATATAAAAATAGTATTTGACTCCTTTCTTAGTCCTTTTATTCCAAGATTAGACTACAGGTATGCCATAAAAATCAAATAAGGTATAAAACTCTTACATAAATAAAAAGATATCCTTCCAAAATATGACAAAAATAATTAATTTAAATCAATGGAAACATATTTTAGAAAATTCGTCTTATGTAAACTTTCCATCGGGAAAGTTTTCTTTAGGATGGACAAAATTTATAAAAAAGTGACAAACAATTCAAAACTGTTTGAATGGTAGTATTTTATATTTTTTGGTGGCTTAAAATTACATGTAATCGAAAATGTATTTTGTAATTAATCGATTGTACACGCTAAAAACAATATTAATGTAATATTTTGTATATTTATTTTATTATATATTATGTAATATAAGTAACAAGTCCTTTTGTAAACTTACACCATATGTACAGAATAACATTAAATTTTATAAAAGTACATCTGTAGTTTTATTTCAAATTTAAAAAAAGAATAATAGTTATTTAAAAAATATATACAGGGTGGTCCGGACTGTATTCCGGAAACTTCGGCAGCATATTCTGCAGATAAAAATAAGTGAAAAAGTTCTTATAAATCTATGTCCTAAAATGGTATAGTTTCGGAGATACAGGGTGTAAAATTTTCAATTATATTTCGATTTTTTCAAAATAATTTATGAAGTAACGTCAATATTTGAATGAAATTTGGTGTCTAGGAGTTTTTTGATATGATAAATTTGATTTTGATGTCAATATAACTCCTACTAGTAGAGGGCGCCACCTACATATTTTTTAACTGGTTTGAAGAGTAATGACTTTTCATCCGTACCTGTATAAAACTACTGAGTAAAAAAATATACATTTACGACGATTTTTGACGTAAAAAAGGTCTCTTGGTAAAAATCGCTACGAGTATTGGTTTTCGAGATATTTCGAATCGAAATTATCAATACCTGTCATCATTGACATAAATTAAACATGTTGACCAACGGTGTGCGGTCCTTGGAAGCGGGGGAAGCACCGCTTCCCTAAACTTTTTAAAGATAAAAAAATAAATAGTTAAACGTTAATAATACTGTTATTTTATAACAAAAGATTAATTTAATTTGTTAAAATTATTTATTTGAAACCTTACATAAACGTATCTAGTAAATTTAATTAGCCTTTTACTGCATGGATGCGCGCCTGGGAATCGCCGCCGGTCGCCTATCCCTCCTTCAGGTAGGTGTTATTGACCTCGAACGCAAACGACAAATTAAAATCGCGCACAGTTGCTAGCCACGGCAGCGATCTTTCGGCCGCCTTCCTCGACTTTTAATTTATCGGAACGGGTTCGCTTGCGATTTTATAGGTAATATTATAATAAATTAAATCCAAAATTTTATGATGATGTTATAGACAAATTTGTAATGGCTGATAGACGAATAGACTTCAAATACAAATAGGTGCCTATCGCGCGTCAAGTGCTTCGGAAAATTAATTTAAAATATCGTATTTTAACTATTATAACTTTATGTGTTTTTGTTTGTTTAACAATTTTCGATAGAATTTTAATCGAACCATGGAATTGGCCTCGGAATTTTCAAAGGTAAGTTTTTTTAAGAAAATGTAAAAGTAAATATATAATAAAAAAATAAAAAAAAGTAAAGTAAATAAAAATTTCCCAAATTTATTATTTCAGCGAAATAACTATCTACTCAAGGTGTTTATTTTTAATTCATTCATTCTAAATATCTTGAGAACGGTTGCTCGTAGCGATTTTTAAAAAGAGATATTTTTTGCGTAAAAAGTCGCATCGCAGAGATGTATATTTTTTCCCTCGTAGTTTTATACAGGTACGGACAAAAAGTTATTACGCTTGAAAACAGTTAAAACATATGTAGGTGGCGCCCTCTACAAGTAGGTGTCATACTGAAATCAAAAAAAAATCTAAATAAAAATGAAACTTCTTCACCCTGTAACACCAAACTAAGCATTTTAGGATATACGAACTGTTTTACTTATTCTTATCTCCGAAATATGCTGTCAAAGTTTCCGGAATACAATTCGAACCACCCTGTATATTTGTTAAAAATAATAATAATCCCCTCTCTTCTAATATGGTCGTCTTTAATATCTTGCATATCAAGGTAGAAAACAAACACTATTATGTTTTGAAGTATTCTCCACGAAGAGACATACATACATAGTTGCCTATACTATGATTCTATATACAAAATATAAAAGGAACCCCTCGTAGCTTCAGTAAAGTTTTAAAATTCCTTATGTTCCATTTTAGGCTATAAATTCATACTTTAAAAGTAACCCCACCTCCAAAAAAACCTAAATATTTCCTCATTATCTCTCGCAAACCTCCTGAAATTCCCTCAGGAATCCCGTTAACTCCTCCTTTCCTTTTATTTCTCTATCCAGTTTGCTGCTAGGAAATCCAGGACTGCTTTTAGAACAATTGCCCTTTGCCAGGCATAAGACTATTTGACGCCGACGTGTTTCACCTGCTTCTGACTAACTAATTGGTTGTTTGTTGGGTGGCTACGTGACTGACATGTCCTGCGGGAATAGCGGGAATCGTTTCGGGAAACAGGAAGGAGGCACGGGAAAAGATTAGAAGTTTATAAAGTGGGTTAAGATACTGGGGAATAAAAAGTTGTAAAGGGTTAGAATTATTATAAGTAAAACTTCGTTATGCGCGGTGTGGGTAAAAATTCAAGGCCGTGACACACGAGCTAGCGAGATGAAAAGTGCTAAGGATCGCGCCAAACACCAAAAAACATTTGATTTAAAGCTAATAGGCCAGTAAGGGAGGGTTTTAGGGTCCGAATTCTGAACACCTGCACCGATTGACGCGAAATTTTAACAGTGAATAGAGATATATGTAAGAAACAAAAGTTATATAGCAGCGATGTGTGCTTTCACCGTAACGATTTCCTTGATAATACCATTTAATCATCAATACTTTTTTTTCGGTAGTGTAATTCACGGCTAATATTTTCGATGTAGGTATGAGTTTTTAATAATAATAATAAAGCACTAAATAGATAAATTTCTGAAATGACAACTTCATTTGACAGTTATCTTTTACCTTGACTGGTGCTCAAAAGTAAATACAGGGCCATAAGAAAGGAGAAATATTTAAAAAGAAATCGGCGATAACTTGTAATCGGGCTAATCAAAAATATCTAAAGTTATTCTTTTGAATGTGGGTTTTAGTGCTCTTCAATAACCCTAAATAGAATTATTCTCTAATTAGGGAAGCCAATAACTGACCCCATTAAAATTTACATGGGATTTCCTATGTCCCGCTCGACAATGCAACACGGTTTAGTTTTTTGTTTGTAAAGTTGTTCCTCTCTGGTTGATTATTGTAAAATTTAAACAATGGTTATAATTTTAAAAAAAAATATATACTCACTAACAGCAAGCCAAATGACAGTAAGCGCTATTCAAAAATAAAAAGTACGGGCCCAGTAAATGATGTCCAGGGCTTGACCTCGTCAAAATTATCATCGATTGTCAATCCCCAACCATCTTTGACGCCGTTTTTTTTTATCATAATTTTATCGAATTTAAAAAAAACAATTAAAAAAAGGCATGTTATTTGAACCTAACCTAACTAAAAATCTATTAGAATTAAATAAACAACACATCGACAATATTCACATACACTCGTCTATTTCACACAGCTAATTAGATATGTTTTGCTGGCCCAAACGTGACCAAAATACGTCTGGTCTTCATTCAATATTCCAGAAATGTCTCTCCCGTCCAGAGGACCGAAAAAACCCGGCTAGAACAAACCGAAAGCATCGTATATTCGAGGCTGTTGTCGAATCTGGAGAGGTACAACAAAGGAGGAAAAGCTACAACAGAAAAAATGGCAAACCCTTAAGGACTAGGAAGGTTTGTTAGGTGGCTTTTGTGGATTGGTCTTTTTATTGAAGGGTTTTTCTTTTCGTTCTGTTTTTTTTTCAGTTCTTTTCTTTAAATTAAGCGAGTGCTTTATCGTTTTAGGACATTTCTAGGGTTGAATATAAGGTTCAGTGATATTGCTGATAAACAGGAAGATTGAGCGTCCTAAACATTTTAGTTTTTTTGTTCTGCAAAAGATTTGATATTATCGATCTTAAGAGTCAATTTCATTAGTCCGAAAAAGTAGCAGAATAAGCGTTCGGCATTTAACGTTTTATGTAAAAATGGCTAGGTATTTTTACACAAATGAAGAAGGATATTAAAGATAAAAGATTATACTACAGGGTTGTTCACCACATACGACACGGAGTATTGTAGCTAAACGATGAGATTTTTACAAATTGTAAGTTTTGGGTTCGATGAAGGACTATTAGAGGAACAATTTAAAAATAATTTTACAAGATACAGAGTGTCCCAAATAAGTATAAAATATCAAAGTTGTATTTTTTTAAATGGAACACCCTGTATATTATTACATTTTTAGTTTCTAAAATTAAAACAAAGGTAAATTTGATTAAGATTTATTATATTTAAACCTTACCGTTTTTGAAATATTTTCAATTTTGTGAAATTGCAGTAAAAATTTTAAGGCTTCATTTCTCCAAGGGTATCAAAGTTTTTAATACTAAATATTTACTGAAGTTTATTTACTGATCAGTTATTGTGTTGCAATAATAAAAATAATACTACCTTATACAGAGTGTCTAAAAATTTATTTTAAATAATTATTAGCTTCAAACGGCAATAACTTGTTTAATTTAAATGGAACACCCTGTATATTTTACGAGAATCAGATGCACAATTTAATTGTCTATCAAATTATATTATACCATTTTTTACCTATCTCTTTAAGTTTCCGTAGAAAATTTATTTTCTTGTAATTTAGAACTTATTTATCAATATATCCATGGACTATTGACATTTTAGATTATTTTTAAAGATGTATCAAATTTTTAAAGAGTACAGATACTAATATTGTCGATATAATTCGTTATTTCATTAAAAAATAAAAAAAAACTGTTTAAATATTTGTTAAAGAGGATCAGTTAATATGATTCCAGTATTCAAACAACATTAACTGACTGTTTGCTTTGATTAATAATAATTGCTCCAAATACTAAAAAACTGAATTTTGTATGGGCATTAGACAGTGTGATAAAAAGTAACACCTTAAAAATGATATTTCATTTTTTAATAAATGCTTATTTATAACTACAGAGACTTTAATTTGATAACTTATTATTATATTGATTTCTGACTCAAATCCACATTTATTTATAATAATTTAATAACGAACACAATTAAGTATGTAATTAATTAGTATATGGGCGCAAATAATGGTGTTATATTTAATTAATGGTATACTCTTTTATAAAGATTTAAATAGTTTTCTTTTTGCATACAAATGGGCTAGTAATATTATCGTTTTGCTAAAAACGATAATATTACTAGTCTGTACATTTTGTACATTTGTTGCTTTAAAAACAATCTAAAATGTCAATATTCCATTGATATATTGATAAATGAGGTCTAAATTATAAGAAAATGCATTTTATACGAAAACTTGAAGGGATAGGTAAAAAATGGTATAATACAATTTGATAGACAATTTAATTGTGCATCTGATTCTCCTAAAATATACAGGGCATTCCATTTAAATTAAAGAAGTTATTGCCGTTTGAAGCTAATAATTATTTAAAATAAATTTTTAGACACTCTGTATAAGGTAGTATTATTTTTATTATTGCAACACAATAACTGATCAATAAATAAACTTCAAGTTTAAGAGTTTTTTCGGAAACTTGACCGTTTATTAAATAAAAAATATTGTAATATTTGAGGGGTGGTTTCACCCTCTTGGAACTGGAATTTCCAAAAATCCCTTCTTATCGAACCTCTACATCCTAGAATCAACCTGTATGCCAAAATTGAGCTTCTTACGTTGAGTGGTTTGAGCAGGATCGTGATTAATCAGTATGTCAGTCACTTAAGGATTTTATATATTAGTATAGACTTTAAAATAATATACTAAAAATACGAAGTCCTAATATATATTACAGAGTTCTTAATATTAATTAAAACCAAGGCTAGAGAGGAAGAAAAACTTTCTTTCTTTCTGTTTTTAATGAATGGTCGTCAATTAGGAGGCGCCAAATCGGCGCATGTCTACCCACGGCTTTATAAACACGCGTCTTCCCCAATATTTTCGTTTTCCAGTTGACGTCGCGACCGATAGCTGGAAGCATAGCGCTGTTCGACCTAAGCATTACGTGCCGACCACGTGTTGCGGTACTTCGTGGTATGTTTATCCAGAGACAGTTCGAAAATATTTTGTAAACTTTGTTTGAAGAAGTTTTAGTTAAAAAGCGATTAAAAAAAGGTAATCATGTCATTATATATTATGAAAAAAATTTCGGCTAAAAGTTTTTTAGAAATTTTAATATGTGATAATAACAAAATGTTGAATCTTATCTATACCTTTCTAGAAGTTATACAGCCTGTACCAATATGTGTAATATTTCTTTAGATTCAGTTATTAATAGATAGTATAAAGTATAAAATATAATTTATAAATCAAAAATTAAAAAAGCAAAAAGGTAATCATAGCATTATATATTGTGCATAATATTTAGAAAAAAGCTACAAGTACTTTTATTACTTACCTTTAATGTACACATTGGATGAAACCAAAATTAATGACAATTCACAGTTACTACTGAATGATTTTTAAAATATAATCATAATTAATCAATACGTATCAGGGTGCATCTTAAAAGTGGCTCACCCCTATAAGTTTCTTATTTTTTTAGATATAAAACGATATTTGGTATGTGACATAAATTAGGATTGATTGACATATTCAATTGTATTTTGTCACTTCCTGTTTCACCGGAAATGACTACAACTATATTTTTACCTTATTCGATAGAAAATAACACTGTGAATATAATGACATATTAACATATGTCAACTTTTAACATTTTTGCATACGATTTATTTGATATTGTAACATGCGGTTCATAACGACAATTTGACTCGAAATACCAAGTGTGTGTGGTACCAAATTATTTGTAAAAAAAGCTTTTTCCATATATGTTAATGAGCCACCCTTGTACATTTGAAAAAATTGAAATATGATAAAAATACGACTTGGGTATCTTTTAACCGACCAGGACAATCATTTTTTCAAGAGTCCTTGATTAAAAATTAGTGTTTGTAACAAACCCATGGCACTATAGATTGAAATTTAAAATACGATTTTTATTAGGCGAGAATGTCAAAAGTTGACATATTGATATGCCATTCTATTCAGAGTGTCATTTTTTAACGAATAAAGTAAAAAATACTGAGGGTACTCTTTAAAAAACTAAAGTCGTAGTAATTTCCGGTGAAACAGGAAGTAACCGAAGACAACTGAATACATCAATCAATCCTAATTTAGTTCATATACTACCATACCAAATCTCTTTTTGTTATCTGAAAAAATAAAAAAGTTATAGGGGGTGAGCCACTTTTGAGACGCATCCTGTATATTAACGCATAACTTACAAAGGTAATATATTAATCAGAATTTTATTCAAAATTAGTTTACTGATGTGGAAATGTTTCAATTATACTGATTCTAATTGCATATAACTATACATTAATATTGCATTAATACAACAAATAATGCATTTAACGAAAAATAATTTTAATGTATCAACAAAAATCTATCCATTATCATAATTTGTTTTCAAACATGTTAAAGCTATAGATTTTATTAATAAATTAGTAAATCAATAATTTAAATTCCATCCAGACAAAATATTATTTTGAAATTGTTTTTCAAAAATTCCGCTAAATAAATAAGCTCCTGGCTATAAAAGCAGAACGTGTTCATTTAATATTTAATAATATGTACAGTGTTTTTTTCTATAATATGGATTTATCAAAATAAGTATTATTTTATGTTATATTAATTATAAATTTAATGTACCTATTCATATTTTGTGAAATGTTTTTTTTCGTAATAAAATGGTTGCAAAATGGGGAGGCAAATTGTTTGTTTTAAAAAAAACTTGGATTAGACTCGATAATTATTAGTTTATGCAATGTATTAATTTTATATTTTATGTTGTCATGTTTCATATAAAATATGTTTAGATAAATATACAGCTCTTGATTTTTCTGAAGTCTGAATTGGACAATTAATGGTCAGTTATGCCCATCCTCGATCATCTGGAAACAAAATTTCGTAAGGAATTTTTATTAAAATTTGCAGCCCATTACATTAATATAATCAAATCCTTTTAGCAATTCCTATTAACCCTCTTACGCTAGGAAAATGTTAAAACAAAATTACAATTCCTCCTTCTTCATCCAGCCAAGGAAATAAAGGTCTCTCCCGAATGCCTTTTCACTTACCTGGAATGCTCTGCTGACGTGACAGGCATGAATAAAGACGAAATGAAGCCCGATATGTTAATTTTAATAAGGAGATTAAGTATTTGTCCTTTATTTTACATCAAACACTGTCGTTCGTACCTGTATAAAACTACTGATTAAAAAATATACATTTACGACATTTTTTCTTACGGAAAAAAGGTAGAATTCGCTACTAGTAATGGTTCTTGAGATATTTAGAACTTAATTTATCAACACCTGGTCATCATTGACATAAATTAAATATGTTGACTAAATAGTTACTAGACTGAAATCATAAATTTGAAATGTTTTGTGCGAAAAGTTTAACAGAAACTGTTTTATCATAATTTTTTCGAAGAAAAATTTATGTTTAATTTAAAAAAATAAAAAGTTCCCAAATTTATCATTTCAGTCAATAATTCTGTGATATTGCTGGTCATCCCGTTTAGTCTGTGTTAGTTAATTAATTTTTATATTCTCTTTTTGTATTTTTTTATTTTAGTGTAGTATTTAATACCTATTGTAATTATGTATTATTTTTTGTTCTTATTTGTACTATTTTAAGATATATTTCATATTCAAAATAAAACACTAAATCACCACAATACACCAAAACACATTTACTTTTACACTGGACGCGCGTTTCGCTAACCATGTTAGCATCATCAACAGATGATTATAAACTATTAGTTAGCTTATAAGTAAGTTTTTTGTAGTCCGTAGGCTTCAATTTCAAGCATACTTTGTTTACTATACGGAAATTTTGATTTCTAAATCAAGCCATTTTTGTTTTGCAATTTTCTCTACCTTATCAGTAACGTTACTTTTCGGAATATCAACTTTAATAAAACTAAGATAAACTGAATTGGCTTTGTATCATTTAAGAAACCAAATATCTGCTACTAATAACCTAATCTTAGTACTAAACTTACGATAAAGATTCAGTTCCGTTGACCGTGAAGCCATCGAAGATTACAGTTGAGGGTTAGAACTTTTGGTGTTACACAGCAAATTAAAACACTAAATCACCACAATACACCGAAACACATTTACTTTTACACTGGACGCACGTTTCGCTAACCATTATGTTGAGTTTATAATCATCTGCTGATGATGCTAACATGGCAACTGTAATATATTACCTATTGTTTTGAAATTCCTGTAAGTGGGCTTCAACCTGTCGGAAATAAACGACTATTTATTTCTTTATTATTTCCTTATTTCGATTCCAAATATCTTGAGAACGGTTGCTCATGGCGATTTTTGCCAAGATACATTTTTTACGTAAAAATCACGGAGATGTATATATTTTCACTCAGTAGTTTTATACGAGTAGGGACGAAAAGTTATTACTCTTTAAAACACCCCCTACAAATATCAGTCATACTGACATAAAAATCAAATTTCTCCTGTCCGAAAACTCTCAGACAATTTTTATCCAAATATTGACGTTATTAGAAAAATTATTTGGAAAAAATCGAAAAAGAAATGAAATTTCTACACCCTGTAACCCCGAAACTAAGCATTTTAGGACATACATTTATACGAACTTTTTTACTTGCCGAAGTTTACTGAATACAGTTTGGTCCATCCACCATATTAAAAGGAGACCAGAACTTAAAATGCTTTACTTTCAGTCAAACTGCTTAAAGTGCTTAAATTTTAAGCGCATGTAGTCAGCAATGTATTAAACTACCAGGTAGAAAATTGGGAAAGAAAAATCAAGTACAACAACTGCTGGATTTACTCCAGGGGCTTGAACTCGTCAAATTAACTACCTAGCAAACTACTTGCGGTAATTCACGCTAACTTTGTTGCAACTAATATAATTTCTCGGTTGCGGGAAATTAGTAGGTAACGAATTAAGCCTGGGAATAATACGAATATAAATCACAGCAGAAAATGCTATTAATATACAAGGAAAAATAAATAATCCTTCAAACTATTAAAATTTAAATTACGGTTATAAAATCAGTATCGTAGATTAGTATGTTATGCATAATAACAATACAGGGAGGCGCCTCTAACAATCCGCGGAGGCTCCAAGAAGACAGTTTGTATTGAAATGAAATTTTGTGAGCATATGTAAGTTATTTCAGAGCACTTTTTAAAAATATAGGGAGTTCTACAGAGTGTCCGTGAAAAAAGTTACATATCAAAGTTGTGTTTTTTGTAACGGAACACCCAATATATTAATTGATTTTCGGATTCTGCGAGAAAAATAAAGGTGAGTTTTATGAAGTATATGACAAGAATGTAATGTTTTTGACATATATAACATTTTATAGAAATAAAGAACAATTTTTATATTACAATAAAAGCCAACTAATTATTATTATTAACCTAAATTGGAATTTTTCCAACAAAAGTTTGAGACTGTATGATGAGTTATAACTCAAGAAAGGGGGCCACACAATAACTCCTAAAACTCCTAAACATTCTTCATTCTACATTCCAGATAACAAATACAAGCAATAGCGCTTTCTTGTTGCTAGTCCAATTTAAAAATTGAATATTCAATACTATATTTATTTTTAATAAACTTTTTACCATATATTTAAACGTGCGGTTTGGTGAACATACGTTACACACCCGCAAACTGAAAATTATTCATACGAACATAGAACGGCTGGTTCGAGTTTTACCTGGTTTGGCGCTGTTCCGGAAAATTATCCGCGAAATTAACTAACGCTTAACGAAAAGGGAATTATCACCATAAATAATCCGTTTTGTGCCACAACAAGCCCCGCTGTATGTGACTACATATGTGCGTGGGCTAAAACTAATGTTCCGGAAAATTTATCGTCGTTGTGATTTAGTTGGCTAATTATCACACCGTTATTATGCAGCCATTAACACCAATAAATACGTTTTAGGTTAGGTTAGAAGAAATTTTGAACCAACAATTCGTGTGCTCTGTTTTTGTTTACACGTTTTCTTGTTGTTGTTTACACATTATTTATAGTGATTTACAGTAATTTTGCTAAATTATACGAATATTCTCGATGATTATTGGTTTGAAATAAATATGACATATAAATGAGCTAAAAGCTTTACCTAGACCATTATTAACACTATAATGCATTCTTTCTTTCAGAGAATAATAATGGATACACTATACACAGCACGGCTTCATGGGTTTCCGCCAAACATATCACATTCATCGATAGAGACAAACATTAGTGAAGAAAGTGTTCTATCCCTTCTTATAGTGTTAGGAAGCAGTGTCTCTTTGGTGGCGTTAGTTTTTGCCTTCATCACTTACAGGTAAGACACAGTAAACCTAAACATTTACGACTAAAAAATTTGATTTATTATTACTCTTTTAAAATATTCAATGTGCTATTATTTGTTTTTATATTATTTATTACAAATAATATTATTATATTATTGTAATACACTATTATTTGTTTCTATAAATTGCAACATTCGGATAAGAAGAAATGATTTAACATAAACTTATTAAACCTTCTCAAAACAATTTTTTTTTTAATTCTTCAACCCACTTTAGACCACAAATCTAAGTGAAGTTATTGGGTTATACCAGAGTGGTTGCCGGCTGATACAATTTATATCCAAATAAAATAAATAAAACACAGGAGAGACCAAAAAAATCCTGGAAGTTCATAAATTTAGGCTGTCAGGGCAACACTCTAGGGAATGAAAGTCAAGCACAGAATAAACGATTTTGGGGTTGGAGAATTTAAAATAAATAAAAAAGAGAACGATTAAAAAAAGCATTTAAAATTTTCAAATTTTTCAGTGGAATACTTATTCTCTTTTATAAATCATTTTTTCATAGTGAAAAATGTTTAAGAAATGTATTGGATTTGTCGCAATTTTGTCGTAAAACATGAATGTTTCTGTCTTGTCGTTGTTTTGTCTGCTTGGTCTGAACCCGGCATTAGGTAGGTAAAATTATGTCTAATTAACTTACTTTGATTACATAAATATGTAGTTGTTCTGTGTCCACAAAATATTGTAACATCCTGTATAATTTAACATAGATTTGAGTAGGTTTTTGTAACAAAGGCAATGTAAAAAATACCGATAAATTACTTTTCTAAAGCTAACCCATAACGATCGAAATGAATAAAACAAAAAAATTAATGTTTGGATAATTTTATATTAGATTTTGTGAACAGAGGAAGACGAAAAATTTAATTAATATGCAGATTTACGAAAAAAAAGTCTTGTATGGTAAGCATTTGATAGGACCATGGCAAACAAAATTTTCATATAAAGGACTGTTCTCTCGTACAAAGAAGGTTAATTTTGCAATAAATATTCATTCGGTTCAATTCAGGTTAAATATCTGTACTTTGAAATATTTTAAATGCTATTTTATAAAGTTTTTTTTCTCTTATATTCTTAATGTTTGTGCTAAATAGCAATTTATTGAAGTTATAATATGCAATTTATTGCAACGTAACAAACATAGTTGCCTCCATACAATTTTTAAAATTAAAATATTAGTTTTGAGATACCGTATGAAAAAAAACGGCGTCTAAGATGGCTGGGTAATGATAATCGATGATAATAAATTTGACGAGGTCATAAACGTTTCCAGATACACAAATCTATTTCCAAAAAAAAATATTTTTTTTCTCGTAGTTTAAACTACACGTCTAGGGTTTGTCCTCGCCAAAATTATCATTGATTGTCGTTCCCCAGCCGTCTTGGACGCCATTTTTTTTTCGATCGTCTGGTATTAATGCTTTTATTTCTGATAGTGTACATAATTAAATTATTGCTGACCAGTAACAGTTTAAAGTTTGTGAAAACTTTAAATTGCTATCGATGGCAACATTATTAAACGCCTTGGTAATCAAATTTTCGATCAATCAATAAAGCTTATAATAGCTTATTCGAAAATAAATCAAATAATACCAAAAATAAATAAGCAGATAATAAAACTTCGATGGTTTATGAATAGTGATGAAACTTTGACTTATTATTACTGTTATTACTGATTATCACAAGTTGTTTTTTCTTTGATCATGACATTTCCTTATCCCCAAAGTAATAAATATCCTGTCGAATCGAGTCTCCGCTATCAGATTCTGGCTCGCCAACTTTATTATTGATCTAATTATAATTAATAAAGTTGAATAATACTCTCTACAGACTTTGGTTGCATTAGGTTTCCTACCTGAGTATTAAAATCTCACCAAGATTTCAAAGTTTCTGTTTATTGAGAACGGAATGGCAAACTTTTGAATAATGGCTTTGGTGTAATTGGAAGTGGAGTTTTCTATCACTTTTCTGTTCTTAAATTGATTCTTTAGTAAAGTTGAGGTTATAGTACTTTAGAAAAGTCTATTATTAATTTAGTAATCAATAAGAAATTGAGATTTAATAGAAATATACAAGAGGGTTTAGTTTTTGGACTGAAACTTTTGAAACTGGTTTATTTATATTTATGATATTATTTTATTATGGATAATACTCTCGTGTACCGGCGACTTCGTTCGCATCGAATTAATCGTTTGTAATGGTGACGATAAAGCAATGCAAGAATTTCCATTAACATATAAACTGGATAAAATTTTTTCACATTTATGTCAGCATGAGAAAAAACAATATGGCGATATTATTATATAACTTTTTACGTCAAGAAGTTTAAGGAGAATCGTGGTTAAGAAATTACCCAACTTTTTGAAACACCCTGTATGATTTTTTAAAAAATTTCAAAATATGTAAAAAAAAACAAAAAAATTATGCTTCTCCAAGCGTTTTCCAGAAAGACTAACCGTTTTTTAAATAAAAAATATGGTAATATTTGAGGGGCGTTTTCACCCTCTTGGAATTTGAGATTCCAGAAACCCCTCCTTATCGAACCTCTACACCCCACAGTCAATACGTTTGCCAAAAATCAGCTTTAAACGTCAAGTAGTTTAAGCAGAATCGTGATTACTCAATGGTCATATTTTATGAAACACCCTGTATAAATTTATAAAAAATCTTAAAATATGTAAAACAACAAAATAAAATATACGTGTTTAAGAATTTTTTAAATAAAAAATATTTTAATATTTGTGGGATAGTTTCACCCCCTTAGAATTCGAGTTTCGAAAAATCCCTTCTTATCGAACCTCTACGCCCTAAAGTCAATCTGTTTTCCAAAAATCAGCTTTTTACGTCAAGCGCTTTAAGCAGGATCGTAATTAATCAATGACCAGATTTTTCGAAACACCCTGTATAAATTTTTAAAAAATCTTAAAATATGTAAAAAAACAAAATAAAATATACGTGTTTAAGCGTTTTTTCGGAAAGTTGACCGTTTTTTAAATAAAAAATATTGTAATATTTGAGGGGTGGTTTCACCCTCTTGGAACTGGAATTTCGAAAAATCCCTTCTTATCGAACCTCTACACCCTAGAGTCAACCTGTATGCCAAAATTGAGCTTCTTACGTTGAGTGGTTTGAGCAGGATCGTGATTAATCAGTATGTCAGTTACTTAAGGATTTTATATATTAGTATAGATAACTAACCAAACCAATCACAGAGCCAATTATTAATCTTCATTTTCTTACTAAAATTTCTAATAAAATGTCTCTATTTTGCAGTTTCTCAAATTTTAGTCTTTATTATTGCATTTTTACTACTGCAAAATACATTTTTCCTGCTTATATACTGCAAAATACACAGGGTTCTTTTTGAGGTGTAAAATATTGACGTTTTCGGGGCATGTAAACAATCCAGCTTTCTGGGCACGTTTCGAATGTGACAACAGATGCGTACTCTGAAGTAATGTATTCCACGTTACCCAGACATTGTTACCCCATTTCTTGTTTTATACAAGGTAAACAAAGAAGAAGGTATAATATTTATTGAGTATAAGGTATTTTAGATGAAAATCTCTGGTGGCACTGCTATGTACTAAATTTGAATATTAGAATTGACGTCTAAATAATGACCTTGCCAAAATTATCATCGATTGTCACTCCCCAGCCGTCTTTGACGTCGTTTTTTTTCGATTATACAGTATTTTAGATAAAAACTGCTATGTACTGAGTTATACTCTTCCTGTACTAATAAACTACTAATATTTACATAAAAATACACTCAAACTAGACAACTTAAAATTACGGCCCTGGATATTCTCCAAGATTAACTTTTCGCAACGTTAACACACAGTTGCAATTTCTCAGAATTAAATTATCTTCATTCCAGGCAAATGAACATAATCTAGCTAATTTCTTAATTTCCACGGCATAATACAACGGCTGGAAACTTATCGTTTTCGGCAACACTTGCTCAGCGTCTGTCTAAATTGAATATACATACATTCCAAACAGCAGATCTAATTATATAACAATAGCGAGCATATTGATTTTGGTTTGAATTAGGTTTGGATATCAGATATTGAAAATTTAATTTGAATTAATAGAGAATTAATGGAGTAATGGATTTGAATATATAAATATCATTTGTAGTTTTACACTTTTTTATGTGCAGTTAGTTTATTACTAGTTAAAGAGTAGGTAGGGGTTCTAAGTCATGTCATGTCTATCTCCATCTGAAAATATTAATAACTTCTTTTAATACTTTGTAGAGTCAACAAATTTTGCTAAAAAGCTAACTTTTCCTTGAAAATTCTATCAAAATAATATTAAAAAATTATTTTGGTATTTGGCTTTAGAACTCGATGGCATGTGTCCATCAGCAGTTTACCATTAGCTGAAGAAGTATGATTCTTGAGTTGGGGGTATAAATTCATTATTAAATAGCATGATTATCATCAAAAGAATATATTAAAAGCGAATTAAAACGAGAAAACTTTCCTCCAGGACCCAATCCAGTGGGTCCTTTCGAACTCGATGGCATGTGTCCATCAGCAGTTTACCATTAGCTGAAGAAGTATGATTCTTAAGTTGGGGGGTATAAATTCATTATTAAATAGCATTATTATCATCAAATGAATATATTAAAAGTGAATTATAACGAGAAAACTTTCCTGGAGTGGGTCCTTTCGAACTCGATGGCATGTGTCCATCAGCAGTTTACCATTAGCTGAAGAAGTACGATTCTTGAGTTGGGGGATATAAATTCATTATTGAATAGCATTATTATCATCAAAAGAATATATTAAAAGCAAATAATAACGAGAAAACTTTTCTGGAGTGGGTCCTTTCGAACTCGATGGCATGTGTCCATCAGCAGTTTACCATTAGCTGAAGAAGTACGATTCTTGGATTGGGGGGTAAAAATTAATTATTAAATAATATTATTATCTCCAAAAGAATATATTAAAAGCGAATTA